TATATATCTATATCTATCTATCTATCTATATATATATATATATATTTACAAAGTCCCAAACATCATAAAATGTTAAGATCAAGTATTTATTTCAATAATCACAGGAGTATGTACATAAAACGTGGGAAAGAGCAAGAAACCATGCAAGCATATATAAAATAGTAATCTCATTTACATTTAATTGGTAATGCATTAAAACTCATGTCTGGCATCATAATGGTCATCAGTCGTCTCAGCTGAGCTCTGCTATCAGGATGAACAGCCACAGCAGAGGACGCGCTCATAACGCTCACTGTAACTGAGGACAGAGAACGAACAGATGAGACGTTTGAGGAGCAACGAGCACGTTCACACCAGCATGAACTACATATTTAATACAGTAAAGTTAAGTATCATGTATTTGTTGGTATAGCATGTAAATCCAAAATTGAACATCTCAATGTGCATCTAATAAGCACAGTGTTTTAAAAGAATAGTTCACCCCAAAATGAAAATGTGCTGAAATGTGCTCACCCTCAGATTATCTGAGATTAGGATGAGTTTGTTTCTTCATCAGATTTGTAGAAATGTAGCATTGCATCAGTGTCTCAGCAATGGATGCTCTGCAGTGAATGGGTGCCGTCAGAATGAGAGTCCAAACAGCTGATAAAAACATCACAATAATCCACAAGTAATCCACAGCACTCCAGTCCATCAGTTCACATCTGGAGAAGACAAAAGCTGAAATAAATCCAGCATTAAGATGTTTTTAACTAAAATACGAGTCTATAATCCATAATAACTCTTCCTCCAGTGAAAAAGTGCATCTCTCACATCAAAATCCAGCCACATATTTGTTTAGAGCGGTTTAAACTGGAGGAAGAGTTATTATGGATTATAGACTCGTATTTTAGTTAAAAACATATTAATGCTGGATTTGTTTCAGCTTTTGTCTTCTCCAGATGTTAACTGATGGACTGGAGTGCTGTGGATTACTTGTGGATTATTGTGATGTTTTTATCAGCTGTTTGGACTCTCATTCTGACGGCACCCATTCACTTGCAGTGAGACACTGATGCAATGCTACATTTCTCCAAATCTGATGAAGAAACAAACTCATCTACGTCTTGGATGACCTGAGGGTGAGTGCATTTACAGCACATTTTCATTTTGGGTCAAACTACTTCTCTGAAGGAAATCAAAAGCAGTGTATAAATGTTGTTGACTCACTCGGTGACGGTGCATAAGGAGCAGCAGCGTTCGGAGCAGATGTTGCACTGCTGGAAACACGCTGCACACGCGTGACGCTCGCACTGAGAGCACGGCTTCCTCGAACCAGAGACCCTCTGACACACACAACAACACGCTGCAGGAGCCGCTGCACAACCTGACGACACAGTTATTACAGCAGTTCAGATGGAGCAGAAAGTGACCGCAGTCGCATTACACTGCTCTCAAAACATCACCAGCGCTGATTAAACATAATCCCAAACACATACGACTGTGTGAAGAACGTAACAGTGATCAATACTGAAAAGGTTTGGATCTAATGAGGATAATTATAGTTTTATTTACTTGTTTTTGGGCGAACTACTGCTTGAAATGCACTCAACATGTCTTTTGTTATTAAAAGATTCTGTAATCTGTAGGTTATGGTTGTTTCACAGACCTAATCTTACCTAATTTGATGATGCTGAGTTCAAAAACATTAAAACTTTCCATCATGTAGTTTTTTTTCCTTCACAAAATAAGAATGCATTTTTGAAATTGTAATGCATCAGCTTTAATGCACTGATCAAAACAAAAGCGCGAGTTTGATTTTAAAGCCAAAAAAAGTATTTAAAATGTTCCACACTTATCTTAAACTGTTAAAATACTCAATTTAAATGTCACTAGAGCTTTTTCACAAAATGTGATTTTCTGTGGCTGTTTGCATGCGGCAGAAAACACCACTTTCTCCTGTTGTTGCCCTTAATTCTAACCTTGAGATCAGGATGTCATGCATGTTAAAAAGAGCTGAGAATCGATCAGATAGTTGTAATCTGGCTCAGGAGGAATCATGCGTTTGTGTGTTTTTCTGCAGATTAAGGGAGAATGCGAGACTTCTTCAGCACACAAATGATTCCCAAAAGCAAAAATGCATCATATTTAGTGAGAAAACGACGTGAACGAGCAAAACAGACACTGTTTTTGGAATCAGCAGCACGAAGTTAGTAAGAAACGTGGATTTCCTTCAGCAGATGTGATGCAGGACGGTGTAATCGCTCTAGATTCACCTGGACCAGCGTCCGCTCTCTGTAACCGTCCGTCCAGCCCGATGCGTGTTTGTCCTCGGAGAAGCGTCTGATGGGACACGAGCGTGTCTGACGCCTTCTCCTCCCCGTCTGCCTTCCAGAGTCGACCCATCACGGCTTTGGTCCCGTTGAAGAGCAGGTTTTTGGTCTTTTCTAATTGAGAGAGAGAAAAAAAAATAATCATGAGAAAAGAGACTAATCAGGAAAACTAAAAAACTAAACTTTTAGCAACAATATTTAAAATACTGATTCATCTTACCAGCAGGGTAAGTAAATAAATGCATAAATAAAGGGATAGTTCACCCAAAAATGAAAACCAGCCCATGATTTACTCACCCTAAAGCCGTCTGAGGTGTATATGACTTTCTTCTTTCAGACGAATACAATCGGAGATATATTAAAAAACATCCTAGCTCTTCCAAGCTTTATAATGGCAGTGAATGGGTGTTATTTTTTGGAAGAGCTTGGAAAGGCCAGGATATTTTTTAAATATAACTCCGATTGTATAGATAGTTCAGACTCGGTGAACTATCCCTTTAAGTGTCAGCAGCCCACAGCCATTACATATGTATTGCCTTTTTACTCAATCAAAAATGTTAGTAATCACCCTTAATTAGATATCATTTGAAAGCTTAAAACCTCAAAATTCATCCTGTGAAAACCATTTTGAAGTTGCGTTACCATGGAAATGGTACTTTAAAATATTTTGGCGGTCCCCTCCCCCTAAGTGGGCGGTGTCAAGTGTCATATTACAATTACGGTATTTTACAATCGAAACTTTTTATAATCTTGACAAAATACATATGGTTGGAAAGGTCCGAGTCTCAAGATTCCAAATTTGATGGTTACCGAGTCTCAAGATTCCAAATTTGGTGGTTATTTTGTGATATTAGTAATATGGAGTTTGGGTGTCACCCGGTGGCTGTTTGTGGTATAACGCCCTAAATAAAATCTCACAGGAACCTCAATTTATTTTTTATATCAACTTCAAATTTGGAACATAACTTGTATAGACATAAGGCTTTAATTTTATAGCATTTTTAGCGGAAAACCTGTTATGAAAAGTATTTTATATAAAATAAGAAAAAAAAAAAGTGCATTTTCTTTTCAGTAAATGTAAACTTGTATAACTTTTTGATACTTTCATATTTTGAAACGATTCCACTTCTACAATAAAATGCTGATCGTCTTCTTTAAAAAGAGTTCAACCTTAGGTATGCATTACAAAGCGTTCATTAATTATAACAATTTAAAGCTGCAGTCCGTAAGTTTTGCCTCTTTGTCGCCATCTCCGTTTGAAAACCTGGAATTGCAGCTGTGTGTGGAATTATCTTCATTATGTGGGTTGTGCTCCGGCACGGCTCCAGTAATGTTCTGAAGAGTATGTGTGGCAGTCAGTCACCGCACCGGTGTGAATCCTATACTTAGTAACCACAGATTCTAGCACGTCTTGGAATATGACCCAAATAAGAATTTTCACCGGATATTGTCATCTGAACAAGTCTGCAACGTTTGTTCTGACCAACTGAGGAAAAAAGCATTACCCGTACCACTCAACTTAGAACACATTATTATAAGCGAACCGTTGTGAAACACTGGCTGGTTATGTACTTGCTCAAATATTGATTTTGGATCATTTTTAACCAAAAAAAAAAAAAAAAGTTACGGACTGCAGCTTTAAATTTGGATAGTGCACTTTCACATCTATGTTCAAACTTATCTTACAAATAATTTTACTCCTTTATATAAAAATATGACTTTAAGTCATGTAACTCAATATTATGAAAGCAGCCGTAAAGGTTGTGATTACACACAATGAAACTAACTAACTAACACTTAATTATGAGCATTGATTAAAATATTTAACAACCTGCTGGTAACACGAATCAGTCTAAATGGTTTAAAACAAAACAAACACACATATAAATGAGGAAAAATAACATTAGTATTATATAAAATCGCAAGTTTACATGAAAATAACTTTATTTTAAAGCACTGAAACGGATTGATCTCAGCTCACAATTAGCTTTAATTACACTGACCAATAATAAATGATCTTGGATTAAAGTCTGGTGTAAGTTAATCACGATTAACTGGATTGATATAGTAAAAATTATCATTATTATGATCATCAATAATTAGCAAGCAATATTTTGATTACACAGCTTGCGTAACTTTGACACAACCAGAGGTTTATATCGCTGATACTGTTTTTTTTTTTACTCTAATGATGTTATAAACGTGATAAACATGTTTCTGTCTCACCATAAACCTCTTGTCTGTATTTGAGTCCAAAAGCTCCGCAGTTATTGACCTCCTTCTGACCAACGCGAACTTTATACTGCGAGGAGAAGCTCTCGCTGAACGGATAGGAGCGCTTGGGCATCTTCAAACCCACAGCTTCTAAACCACGACGACTAAAGCGACGGAGAACGGGAAATAAACAAACCACGGACAAACAAACAACCGTGCAGGAAGAAAAACAAACACGTGTTCGCTCTTTAAGGACTCCTCTTCTTCTTCACCTGCGGAGCTGCAGCGGCGGACGCACGCGAGGACACGCTCAGCGCCACCTGCAGGTGTGTATGTGCTACAGCATGTCTTCACTATACTGTACATTACACTTTTTTGTGTATATATATATATATATATATTTTGTATCGAATGCAATGACATTTAAGCACTTCTACATGCGATACAAATCAAAACAAATAAATTAAAATAATAAATGGTATATAGGGAACATAACAACTAAATAGTATAAATTTTAATATTAATGAAATAATGAATAACAAAAACAAAAGTTTACAAATTTTTATTTACACCCACTGTCTGATTATTTGACTTGACCTTTACCTTGTTCCTGTAGTGTACTTTGTGGTGTATGTGATATTTGGGGCCACTGTAGAACAAAACAACAATAATAATAACAAATAAAAATAGTAAATAGTATAAAATAGTGTAAATAAATACATAGCGTTAATAATACATATTTAATTAAAAAACTAATAAATAATAATTATTAAACTGTACAAATAAAATAAATAATAATAACTTAAAAATGTAAAATTAATAGTATAAATAAAATAGTGCAATTAAAATAATAAAAATAAAACAAATATTTTAATAATATAAATAGTATAAAGCAAAGTGTAAATAAAATAAATATAATTGAATAAAAAAATGATAATTATTAAACAGTATAAAAATAAATAGTGTAAATAAAATAATAATTATTATTAAATTTAATAATTATTAATAGTGTAATAATAAATTACATTATTTTAATAATAAATAATACAAATAATTGTATAAATAAATAGTGTAAATAACATAATAAATATTAATACAAAAATAATAATAATCATAATTGTTAAATAGTATAAACACAATAAGTGTAACATATTTAATAAAAAACATTAATAATTATTAAATAGCACAAATAAAGTAAATAGTGTAAAAATAATAAAACAATGACATTTTAAAAAGTTTATTCACTCCCATTATTATGATTATGATTATTTGACTTGTTCCTGCAGTGTTAGTAGTCACGACTGGCTCATGGGTCTGAGATCAGATCATGTTGGCATCGAGGAGGAGAACACAGCGTTCTCCGTCTGAATCTATTTCTGACGCAGCTAATAGTGCATCTAACCTAATTATATCCGACATCAGACACTCTGCTAAACCAGTGCGGCACAAAGGAAAAACCAGTTTTAATGGAAAGACAGGCTTTCGGGATCTTATTCTAAAAGCAGAAAATGAAATGCACACAACAACAACAAAAAAAAGAAATAAACACAGTTTCAGGGGATTCGGTTTATGTGTCTCACTGGAAACAACAAACATAATCAACTGAATCCCAAAAACTCAACATTAACATCAGTGCCATTATTTATGATCAGGTGTTACAGTCGATCTGAGAGACCTGTTATAACGCCTGCACATACACAGCCATTCAGAGCTGATCTTCCATCAACTACAACATTGTTAAGAGAGTTTTCTGAATGCCAAGCAGTGAAACCAAGAGTCCCGTGGTGCTGATGGTCTTCAGGAGGATTGTGGGTGATCCTAGAACATCTGGATCATGCATTCCCTGGATTTGCCAACGCCGACCCACTTAACTGTGGTGAAGAGATGCAAAGGTGAGTTTGGGTCACAGGAGGATGCTGTGTGTTTATCACTAGCTATGTTTCCATCCACCTATTTTTATGCGCATTTTGGATTGTCGCATAAAAACCCGTTGGATGGAAACGGTGCTTTATTCGCAAATGTTTTATGCGATATTATTCCAGTTTTGCGCATAAGTTAAATTCGCATCTTTGGATGGAAACATAGCTAGTGTCAATGACTTACTAGGAACGCCGATGTGATTCTCCACGAAGCGGATGTAGTTCTGGGCTTCCGGAGGAAGATCGTTCCACTTCCTGGCCGCTGATGTGTCCGTCTTCCATCCGGAAAACATCTCGTATTCGACCTCCACCTTCTGCAGCACCTCCATGTTTGCTAGAAGCACAGAGAGATGCACGAAGAGAATGAGACAGAAGTAAAGTATGCATGCATGTTTCCACCACTGAATTAAAATTAACAAAAAAAGGTTATTGCGACATTTTATCTTTTTTTTTTATGCATTTATGCATTTAGCAGACACTTTTATCCAAAGCGACTTTCAGTGCATTCAGGCTTTACATGTTTTACCAGTATGTGTGTTCCCTCGGAATTGAACCCACGGCCTTTTGCGCTGCTAACGCAATGCTCTACCACTCAGCCACAGTGGCTCATGTGGCTCACAATTACACAATCACAATAACATTTTTTCTCACAATTCTGACTTTATAACACGCAGTTGTGAGCAGTGTTGGGGGTAGTAACGCATTACAAGTAACGCGAGTTATGTAATCAGATTACTTTTTTCAAGTAACTAGTAAAGTAACGCATTACTTTTTAATTCACAAGAGAATATTTTTTCAAGTTACTTTTTCAAATAAGTAACGCGTTACTTTTTTTTTCCAATTTTTTCCAATTTATTGACTGTTGATCCCCATGTTGAGAGAAATCAGAAGATGTTACTGTAGTTCTAAAATAAATATGAATATGCATTAATTCATCTCACTCACAAAATAAAAACACAGATTCAGTATTCCTCAAAATGAATAAAAATAAGGCAACTCAGAATATGACGCAAACCTGCAATAATTCAATGTTAAACAACACAAATATCCTTTATATTTATTATTCATTTCACTTTTGGTGTGAAAAGGCTTTTATATTTGCCAAAAATATAACTTTTTTATTTTAAAAACAAACAAGCAAGCCCTGTCCAGATTTAAAAAGTAACGCAAAAGTAACATAACGCATTACTTTCCATAAAAAGTAACGAAGTAACGTAATTAGTTACTTTTTTTATGGAGTAACGCAATATTGTAATGCATTACTTTTAAAAGTAACTTTCCCCAACACTGGTTGTGAGTTAAAGTCCAATTTTGAGGGGAGGAAAAAGACTGATATGTTCTCAGAATTGCGAGTTTATCACGCAATTATGAGAAAAAAAGTCAGAATTGTGAGATAAAAAGTCGCAATTACGAGTTACGTAATCAGATTACTTTTTTCAAGTAACTAGTAAAGTAACGCATTACTTTTTAATTTACAAGAGAATATTTTTTCAAGTTACTTTTTCAAATAAGTAACGCGTTACTTTTTTTTTCCAATTTTTTCCAATTTATTGACTGTTGATCCCCATGTTGAGAGAAATCAGAAGATGTTACTGTAGTTCTAAAATAAATATGAATATGCATTAATTCATCTCACTCACAAAATAAAAAAAACACAGATTCAGTATTCCTCAAAATGAAGAAAAATAATGCAACACAGAATATGGTGCAAACCTGCAACAATTAAATGTTAAACAACACCAATATCTAGGGCTGCGCGATAAATCGCATGCGATATTTAACGCGCATCTTGTCAGTAAAGCCGGTTCTTTAATCAGCGGTAAATCTACATCACCTGCGTGCTTTCACATGGAGCAGCATTAACTACACAGAGCCGTTGTTCACCGACAAGCTGCGCAAACCGACGATCATATTTTGACCAGCTTGTCGGTGAATAACGGCTCTGTGTAATTAATGCTGCTCCATGTGAAAGCCCGCACGTGATGGAGATTTACCGCTGATTACAGAATGGCTTTACTGACAAGAT